CAGGCATGGTGGCAGGCACCTGTTATCCCAACTACTCAGGAGGCTGAGACAGGAGAATTGCTTGAAACTTGGAGACAGAAGTTGCAGTGAGCTGAGCATGCCACTGCACTGCAGCCTGGGCAACAGAGCAAGACCCTATTTCGGGGAAAAAATGTGCTCACCTTACATTTGTCAGCAAAATCCAAGACTAAGATATTTTTTATGACCAACAAAAGTAGCTAGGTTAAGATACTTCACAATTACATATAGAATTGATTCTTAGCCCCTCTTCAAATCCCATTTCAAACTGAACAGTCTGGTTATTTTCAGAAATACTCATTTGTGCTTCCTAGGAAACTGAGAGACCAAGAACATAAATTCCACTGAATTGGAGACAAGTGTAAGATTTATAAAGAAAAATTGATGAACCTTTGTTCTTTACAGCCAAGATGATATTGCTACCATTCTGTCTAAAGTGCCCCTGGAGAACAACTACCTGAAGAATGTAGTCAAGCAAATTTACCAAGATCTGCTTCAGGACTGCCACTTCTACCACTAGACCCTTGGACCACCATTAGAACAACCCAGTGGAATGTCGTCGATATTATGTCAGGATCCCATTGCTCTGTAGCCTTTGTCTTTAGGTCATTACAAGCTGAGTAAAATTCCTTCTGATGATGTTATAGTTAATCTGTATGCTTTTTAGATCTCTGCAGAATGATGGTGATGAAGACTGGAATGATGAAAGGCCTATTATCAACTTATTCATCTTTGTACCAAAGGTTTAAGTAATAGGACACTGAGGAAAAATTTCTCCTAATTAAACTAGTGCTTTCTGCTTTAGTACAAGCCCTAAGGATTAACTTTTAAGTATAAGAGGAAGTGTCACCACGGACAAAAACATTAGCCATTTTCCCACAAAATTTCTTTTTGTTTTCCCACACTAAAACAAAAAGAGAGAAAGCAATAGCACTCAGCCATAAATCCCATAGATAGAACTATGATTTTTAAGTAGCCTGGCTTCTGCCTAGCCATTATTTCTTCAGTAGGGATGTATCTGTCTACAAACTATTCATCTTTTTTCTCCATTACTAAAATGCTATTAACAGAAAGCAAGGCCAGGCCAGTGGGTGGCTCACAACTCCCAGCAGTTTGGGAGGCCAAGGTAGCAGATAGCTTGAGTCCAGGAGTGCGACACCAGCCTGAGCAACATGGCGAAACCCCACCTCTACAAAAAAATACAAAAATTAGTCAGGCATGGTGGCTCGCACCTGTGGTCCCAGCTGCTTGGGAGTTTAAGGCAGAAGGATCATTTGAGCCCAGGAGGAAGAGGTTGCAGTGAGCCAAGACCATGCCACTGCTCTCCAGCCTAGGCAACAGAGCAAGACCATGTCTCAGAAAACAAAGAGAAAGCAATAGCACTCCAGCTATTGAAATAGTTGCCATTTTTTTGAGGGCCTTGCTTTTTATTCTTTGGTGTCTATTAATGTTTTCTTAATAAGTATGGTTTTTCTAGGGAAAGTGAATTCATTTTTGTCTAGTGTATATATGTAAATATATTAATGTTTTTGTGTTTGTGATGTAGTAAGGAGATGTATATAGAAATTCATTGAGGTATATAGATACTCATCTGCATAGCCAGTTTCCATCTTTCTGAGGAATGTTTTACAGCAAAATTTTCTATTTTCTTTTATTACATAATGACATATCAAACAATACTACATCCAAATCACTAGTTTTATTAATTTCTAGCAGTGATAGACTTACTATTGCTCTATTGTTTTCTGATGCCTACCCTTGTTATGCATATTGTTAAATGACCAATATTATGTATGAAGTAGACTAAAAAAATTTTACTCAAACTTCAGTCATATCATAATTGTGATAATTTTTGTTTTATATTCTAAACCAAAATGTATTTGCATTCTTAAACTAATTTGTCTCAGAATTTTGCTTTATGCTTTAGGATTCAGTTTAAAGTCCTGTGGGTCCCATGAATGTTACTGTCCCTCTTTCTGAGCTATACATCAAAAGACACATAAGTTTCAAAAGTCAACACAAAACTCATTTGCCATAAAAATCAAGATACAGATGTTCTGTTTCCATAAATTCCTTGAAAAACTGTAAAGTCATTAGTATGGTCTGTTTCCCTTGAAACTTAAGTTAGCTTTGTTATTGGATTTGTTTTATTTATTTTCTGTTAGTCTGAAAAGTAAAGATTTTGTTTTATGCATTTTAGTAACCTGCAACAACCAGCTCTAAGAATGATTTGGCTTGTAATTACGGTCTGTGTTTTTTGGGATTTGGAGTACGTAATCGTAATATTTACTTAGTTATGTATTTTTCTTTGTTCAACGTATTGGCTAGTTTCATTAATTTTTTAGAAGTTTTTCTTTCATTGGTTAGAAAGCAGATTACATTTTACACTATTAAAATAAGTCTATTACTTGAAATCTTTTGTGAGTAGTGTTTCTTTATAAAGAGTATTTTAGCATTTATCTAATAGACTTTTGAAGATATACCAAAGAAACCTTCCTTTAGGGACACCCACCTATTTCAAAACTGAGTTTAGGTAAAGTGTAATGGCTCACACCTGTAATACCAGCACGTTGGGAGGCCAAGTTGAGCAGGTAGCTTGAGGCCAGGAGTTCAAATCCAGCCCAGGCAACATAGCAAGACCCTGTCTCTAAAAAAAAA